AACATTTTAAAATTCAAGAATACCTGGTTTAATTTTCATTTAATAGGATATTAGTTTGTTTCGTCATCACATATGAATAATGGTATTCTCGACGGACGATACCAATCTGGATCTCTCTGAAGACTCGATATTCTTGGATGATAAAATTGATGTATTGTAACAGCATTTCGCCCAAATTTACTTCGTGGAGTCGGTGAATAATCTGTTAGTCGCCATCCGTGTATCCAACTCGTACAATTTGGGTAGTAAAAACGATTTTCTGGAATGTCTTTTACTCTAAAACGATCAACGAGAAGATTAGTATAAAATATTAACGAGTACTGATCTTTTTTCACTTCAAAAAATTGTAATAAAAAGGAACTCTAAATGAATATACTGAAAAGAAGTGTTGAAACATGAATTTTTTTATTTAAACATATTCGTAAACAATAATCTTTTTCATCGTATTTACAAAAATTAGAATTGTATATGCAAAACCTTTTATGAATATAATTTTCAGCGGTGATAAAACTTGGGGCGCCTTCATACAAAATAGCTTTTACTTGTGGATCAATGGGTTTCATTATGTTCAAATTGATAGAACCATCAGGTTCAAGTGGCCTCCAATTTGGTAAGGGTTTTAAATGTATCTATAAACAGGAAATCTTGTCTAATTTTCACCGTATTATAAACACGAATATTTTATTACAATATACACTGTGATTTATATACAATGTCTACGCTCGGTGGTTTTTCTGTTTCATGTATTGGCGACAATTCAATTTTCTGCGTCTTTTCTAAATGATCTAATAATTTTTGTTGATTTCTCAAGAACCATTTAATGCGTGTAGCTTCTTCTTTATGTATCATTGCAGTATGAAATGCTTGACAACGAGCATCGCAGACTCCTCTAGTTGCCATTATTTAATTTTGTTATACTTTTAATAGTCTGTGAAAAAGCATGACAAGGAGCCCATTGATTTAAGTAAAAACTAAATTTATAAAGAATGTTTTACATAGCATTACTCTGAAATAAGATTATATACTACTGTGATGCTCTGATGTTTTTTTAATTAATAATGTCTTCCATTTATTCAGTAGGCAAGAGAAATATTTTCGTGACCTCTTTTTCTATTTCATAGCATCATTTTATTTACATCGTTATTACATATAATACGTTTTACTGTATGTCAATCAATTACCTTTTAGTGCAATATCATTATTAACTTATGTAATAATACCAGTGGGAGCATTATTTTACATACAAATTGGTTAAGTAAAAAATAGTAAATTCAAGAGTAAAAAGATGCTGTTTTACGAATGCTAAGTTAACAAAATACACGAATAATTTATGTATTAATTTTCAGGTAAATAATCCATAAAAACAGATTGATCACTGTGATCTCCGCAAATATATGTGAAATTCAATTTTGGAGATATCAATAGAAACTGGGTTGCTTGTGGTACTTTTTAATCTATAAAAAGTGAGTATTTATTTAAACAACTAAAAAGAATATACAATTAAATTTTGCGCGATAATTAAGTTTAAAAGATTGCCGTGAGCACAAAATGTACGTTCATTAAACACCGGACATCAGAATACATACTCTCATTTATTCAGTACACTTGCATTTTATACATATAATATGTATATTCATGTGTACAGATTATTGTACTTGTCAAATTTTATTATTTATTTTTTTTTTTTTACTAAAAAACGGATTTTCGCACCGTACAAATAATTTGAATATTTTTTGTTTTTTTGTTTTTCTTTGGAGAAAAGAAGTATATACATTATTGTGACGAATCTACCAAAAGCATTTGTAAAAAGACTATATATTTTTACGCACACAAAAATCAGTGTCACTTTGCGACGTCAAATAATGATATATCGGTAACGATGAACAATAATAAATAAATATGGCGTGAAGTATGAGTTTTCATATGATATTACCCCCTCTTAAAGTCAACATCAAATGACCCAGTAATCACAGCCATAGGAAGCAATATTGTGATACATTATAAAGTTTAGATGCATTGTCGTTTATATTACAAACTGACTAAGGAGCAATTCTTAATTTGTACTTGTATAATCAAGGCGAATTGTACTTGTTGCACAATAACATTGCCATTTTTCTTTCTTTCTAACTCGTTCCTTCATACTGTACATACGCATGTAATATTAACTTATCTACACTGTTCTACAAAGTAATCTAGATCCTTCTGTACTTTTTTACGCAAGACTTACCTAAAATTTCATTTTAAGTTTCATAGATTTTAGTAAACTTACATGTTATCTAAACTTAGAACCTGCGTTATAGTTTCGAATAAATATCGAATATTAAAATTTTACACTCTTTAGTTCAAAGCATATGAGATTTTCAATTGCGAATTTATCAATCAAATTTCAATTATTCCGACTTAATTATGTTGTACACACTTCTTTGCTAATCATTTTTCCATGCATCCCCCTGTTTTTTTTTTTTTTTTAATTTACGTATATGGTACAATATTGAATATGCTATGTAATCTGATTCACTATTCAAGTGGAGCATACTTTTCAAACTTAATGTTTTTAAAAATGCTCGTATTATTGTTGTCGTTTGTAATTTATTCAATATAACTTTACTCTATTGAAGTTAAATTCTTTAAAAATTTATCTTTTATACAAAATATGCATGTATTTTTTTCAATTCGAAATTATATACGACTTATTCTAATGAATATTTTCTCGTAGTATTTTTTTATACGTTACGTAATTTACGGGCGTTAGAATTACATTCACGCGAATAAGCTATAATATAAATTATTTTATAACAGAAGTTAAACAGTTTTATAAATAAATTGAAAATAGTTTACACATAATTTACTGGTATTTTCATTACTCATTGCATTTATAGAATAAAGTTTCTTTTTCAATTTTCGTAATGAACTTTTCGTTACTCCATATGAACGGTACGGTAGATGATAGCATTTATAATCATTTCTGCGCATCAGATGGCAGTCATCTATACTAGCATCAATAATATTTTATCCTTCAAGTCATATTATTAATTAATAATTTCATTTTGTTAGTTTCTTCAAAGCGGTATGTTGTCAATTATTTCGTTCAATAAAATAGGGTATTCAGTATAATTTATAATTTTCTAATATAAAACAAAAAAAATATATTTGTTGTATATAATTCTTTGTATTGCATTTTCCAGTAATTCATAATGTTTAAATTTACTGATAACATTTTTATAAATTACCACTTGCTCTTTATTTTATCATATAAAAATGCAGTCATTATATTGTAACTGATACATATTATTTAAAATAGTTATATGCTAAGAAGTAACTTAAGAAACTTTCTGATACGTTTTTTATTCCAATGAGCCTGTGTTCTACACTGGGCTTAAATATGAACTTTCCATACTATTCATTATGAATTGTTATACATATGTAATAATACCGTAGCAACAGATGAATTAACGAAATGTTATTAATAAACTCTCCAAATATGAAAAACGGACGCTTATTCACCATCCAACAGTTCTTCAATGTAATTTAAATGGTCTCATTAAAGTATTTAAAAATACCTAACTTGTGGACACATCGAGTAACACGGAGGTTGGAGCATTTTTGTTGAGGTATACGCTCATATCTTGAAAGCGACTAGACCTAGAAGATGCACCTTGGTTCTGATTTAATCCAGTTGAATCATTCTCATCTTCTGGTCCACGTTTTCCATCGTCTTGCTTTTTGTGGAGTACGTATTTGAAAAATTCGTATCTAAATGATTTACAAAAAGAATATTTTTTTATTTTATATTATAGATAATATTGTATAATGTAACACAAGCTAGAACTACAATTAATATATGGTATTTTTAGCCATTAATGCAATATCTCTTTTGCTTTTGCTTGATGTAAATTTATAAACAGAGTTCCTTTTCTATTTTACATAATTTTGAAGATAATTGCTATTGTGTGACATATACTTACGTTGACCAACAAATAGTAGTTGCCGGCATTTGATAAAGTACACGGGCATTTAAACCACGGAAATAACCACTTAAACCCCCATATGTATAAACTTTTCTGATAGCATCTATCATGCCTTGAGCATGCACACCATTTTGTGTATTTAAAAGTGTTTTACAAACATCTAAAGGTGTTGTGATTGCAGCAGCAATAGCTCCTGCTAATGCACCTGTAATTTATATAAATTCAATATAGTTCTAATGTATTATCATGTGTCTGAAACAAAGTCTAATGTCATATAGTACAATGTTCTTTTGTAAATGATGTACATACCTGATATCATATGTGCTATAGGATTATAAACATGTCTTGGATTTGTCAAACTTTGTGTAAATTCATAAGTAATAAAATGAATCATTTGAAAAGGTACATTCATGGCCAACTGTGTTGTATAACTCCTATAGAATGCATATGCACCTTCACTTTTGTATATATCTGTTATACATGTTAGAACATTTCGATAAGGAGAGTTATACATTTGTAATCGTTGTTTAACCACTGGAACAAAATAATTTTATTCTTCATTGGATAAACTTCTAAAAATTATGAATCACATTTAGCTTGTTCTGTTTGCCACAATAAAGGAAACATATTTTGTATGTTTTAAAAAATATGTGCAATGGGCAACAGCTACAATAACAAAAAATAAGTAATAATTCATTTACTTATTAGTAAATTCAATTCAAATACTTTACCTTCTGCAGGATTCATTACACCATCATGAAATAGCGTAGCTACACAACCAGCAGTTCCATACACAGCTAAATTTAATTCAGGATGTGTCCTTGAATTCAAGAGTTTATTTTTAACAAATTCATAGCAGGAAAAATATAGTGCATGTGCAGGACCAGCACCAACAACCATCACACTCATACCACGAACTGGTCTCAAAACACCCTCTTGTCGTACCATTCTACTCAAGACAGCTCTCACTCCACCTCCTCCACCTGAGCCTGGTGTTAATGCTTGCATTCTTGTCTAAATATAAATAAACAAAAAATCCATTTATTTATTTGGCAAAATTATTTCCATATACTTTAGATAAATATTGTTTTCATATATAGTTTAATATGTTGACTACATGTGAACATGAAAAGGTGTAATTTAAACTTACAAAGTGTCTGGTTCCTTAAAGGTATCCTTAAAGGAGGTGATTAAGCAGATAAAATGAAGAAAACAATGTTCTATAAACATGGTGTCAAAGTGATACTTAATGAGATATAAATCTTCAAAAAAGTAATCAGAGATGTTAATGGGTAACATAATCTGAACTAATAGATTCATCAAAGATATAGATTCAGTGTTTATGATTACATCAAAGAACTTTCTCTGGAGAGCATGCATAAATTAAATCTTTAATCTTTGGTTGTACTTGGAATCTGACTTGGTATTAGCTTTTACATTTAGTGAATACATAGACATGCATTTCGTTCTTAGTGAGTGTTTAGGAAATAGTAAGATGGCAAGAAGGCAATATGCAGAAAAATATCCTGATCATGTGATACCAAATTACAAAACATTGGCTGCTATGAATCTACAATTATGTGAAATTGAACAATTAACACAGTGGTCATTTTGAATATCTATTATAATTTTGCAACATAAGTAATTCTTATCTTTAAAGACTTTATCTCATTAAGTATTAATTTTTGACATCATATTCATAAGGTCTTTTTCTGCATTTTACCTTCCTGATCACCTCCTTTAAGGAGACCGGTCAATAATTAGACACTCACAATAATTGTATAATAATACAAAGAATTATAACCATTTAATTTTTATTTCATTTTATAATCAGAGTGATTAGTTTATAATGGCAGAAAAATGTAAAACTATCAAGATACACTTAAACCATGACTTGCAACTACAAAAGATACAATCATTATCAACTAATATTTTTCAGTGACTATATATGTCATAAAAAATCTTTAATTACAATAATAAATGAAACAATGTGAATAATAATGCTTTACAAAAATACTTTTAATTCTAAAATTTCAATTTTGTAATACATTTTTTATATGTAATGAATTTTTATTGCATTGCATTTATATTATGTTGCAAATGTATTTTTTAACAATTACATGTGAAAGTAACAGCTAATATAGAATGTAGGTTGAAAAGAAAACCAAAAATAGAACCTACTGCAACAGAGCTAAGAAATGAGTTATATAATGAATGAAACTCATGTCCTGTTTAATTATTTTGTGTTAAAACTATCTGATTTCTAACTTCTTCTAATAATATTAAAATGTAAATGTAATCTTCATTTGGAATATTAATTATATCTTTAATTATTTAACATTTGATAAGTTATACTAAAGCATG